CGGGCCTGAGGCCACCGACTATGCTACCAATACCACTTCACTCGGCGAGCCGTCATCCGCCGCTCCTTCATATATCCTACCCCGAATAGTCGACGATGCAAACACCACCGAATCACTCGACAACTCCGAGCCTGCCACCCCGCCGACAGTCGGTGAGGTGATCTCCAGCAGAAGGATCGAGCGGTCCGAATGGATTACCTGGCAGCCGAGAATGACTCGCTCAATGACAAACGCAGCGGCCTCCTCGTCGGCACAGGCATCCATGTCCGCGGCAGGCCCATCGACGGCGCCGCAAGGTCAGAAGCGAAAGTCGCTGGACACAGACGACGACGAAGACCTTCCTGGGCAGCATGGGTTTCGAGACGAAGAGGGCGCATACGAAGAAGAAGATGAGGAGAATGAGGGAGAGGGAGGCGACGCGATTGAGGAGGCTGAGGAGGACGGCCGGTTCGATCCAGAGGAGAAGCACCTCCGCGACACCGCTACCGCTGGGCCAGACGGACGCTGGGAGTGCCCCGCGCCCAATTGCGACAAGCTGTTATCGTCCTTGGAGATTATGGTCCGCCACTGGAAGGGATGCAAGAAGAGGCCCGACCCTCAGTCCATCCCTTGCCCGGGCTGCGGCAAGTTGTTCGCGAGGGGCGATGCGATGCGCCGGCATCACAGAAACCCGAATGCTTGTGAAGGGTACGTCGCAGATGATGAGGCGAGGCCGAGGCCGAAGCGCGGTCGAGGGTCCAACGGCGGTCGAGGGAGCAAAGGTGGCGGCGGTGGTCGGAAGCGTGCTCGTCGTGGCTAGAGGTAGCCGTTCCTCTTCTAACTTTCTGTCTCGTCTACGTGCATTTCTTTGGAGCTGTGGCCGTTGTGCATTGAATGCAATACTCACTGGTTCTGCGTCGAGCTGTATCTCGTCCTCCCCTCACTGTGATGTAGATCCTTCCCGCCGTCATCAGCTTTGCAACATAACGCGATTCCTTCAAGACGGACAAGCTCGTGCTGTGTGCGCTTCGTGGTGTCCTCCGCAGAGAGGAGGGCTGAGCGACAGATCGATGAGAGACATAAGAGCGATATTGCCGTCGACGCGAAAAGGAAGTACGGATGGCTGTATGGCTGTTTGACTCCGCTTATGCCAGTGGCTGATGGTCTCACACAATCATGCTTACGAGATTGTAGTGCGTCGAATGTTTGCACTTGAATGGAATGTGAACATCTCCTTCCATTTGTCTGAACCAGCTATATGTCCAGTTCGCAGGTAGATCTCTGACTCGGTGCACCGCCAGTCCAGCCAAACAACTTTGAAGACAACATATTGAGTTGACGTCTCTGCTACTCGTTAGCCTCACATGCAGAGCATTCTGCGTCCTGAGCTGGATCTTTTGTTATTTTGTTCCATACAGTTTTGCGCGGAGAAATGCTCGCAGCATATCTGTATGTCCACTTCTACAATTCGCCAGCTCAAACTGCCGATGCTCGCGTCCGTGACACATGATGCGGGCAGACAGATCCCCCAAAACACCATATGCTCGCCTTCGCAGCTGATAACATCCTCCTCATTGCTTTATAGCCAGAGAATATGTAAGAAAACTCCGATTACTGTATGATATTCGTCGACGTGGTTTTTTTCTGACGATCTCGGCTGCCACTATTTGCCACATCGCCGTAACGCCTGGTGGATTGTACTGAGACTTTGATATCGCTCTGTTCAAAGGCAAGTCTGCATTGACGTTCTGAGAATTGCAGTTACTTAGTGCTAATCCACAGCTAGCATGAACATGTGGTTCATGCATCTTCTACCGTGTGTTCTCCCAGCGATAATCTTTGGAAGACCCCCATAACGCCCAGTCAAAAACTCCTCGAGATCGCCTGAGACCCAGCTGGGTGTCAGCCTTACAGTGTAGCACGTCTCCGATGTGCTGACACTATGCCGCCTCAAAGACGCTGTTCTCTCGCTTATTCTCAGCGCTCAATATTGGCGTCCGTGATCAAGGAACATGTATCTAAGAAGAATGGAGGTTCATTGATGTTAGACACCACGTAAGCGAGTAGACACAACACCCGCTCAACCAATCCAATGCAAGGACGTCATGATTACACATGGCAGCTGCCAGTGAGTGGACAGCGAAACCCATACTCTCGGATGACAACAGTGTTTCAGGTATATGTACGGAGACCATCGAGTCGATGGGGGCTTGCCAGTGTGCCTATCGGTTCGAGGTCTCACGGCCAACGAGATCTGCGGGTATCGTGAATAGCGAAGCTTTCGATGAAGGACATCGATTACTTTCGCATCAACATTAATGTTGGCGGAACGAGAAAAGCTAAGGCATAGATATGCCCTACTATCCAATGTTTCAAGACTTTGTGTGGATGTAAAAGTCGTGGAGGGCGAGAGCTATGAGCGCGTTCGGCGCTCCGAGAGGAGGAATTGGACTAGACAGGTCGATTCCCAACTGTTGTGAGCCGACCAATGGAACAAGGGAAACAAGCAGACTTAACAAATGCGGTACGAGTACGCGGCGCTGAGCATGGAATAGAATACATCGAAGCCGGTGGCGACGAGCACTAGCGCAGGGTATTCATGGAGGTAGAGCAATCTGGAACGAATGGCCACTATATGGCGGCGCGGAGCTTGTCGATCATGAGATGCAGCAGGATATGCGGAGGCGTAAGCAATGCGACAACCTCCAACAGCCTGCGGGCTCTATCCGCGACCGTCGCGGGGTGCTGTAGGCCTCATGTCAGCTTCTCATACGCATTTAACCGCGTCATGCTTGTCCAGGCCGTTGATACCGTTGATGGTGCCTGCAGGAGAAGGGCGCACAGGGGCCACATATGGGCTTTCCTCCCATACTTCATCCATCATGCTTGTCCGAACGAACGCCCACATTGAGCATGTAGTGCGCTGGCGCGCAAAGCATCATTTTGACGTACACAAAGGGTATATTGTTGGATGGGTAGCGAAAACGTCTTGCGAAGCTTTGCGATTGAGAGTAGGACTGGGATGAGTATCGTCATCGGGAAACGCAATGATCTTTAATTTCGTGTCCCTGCCACGATTCCTCTTGGGTCAAGGCGGGGGAGCAGTCGGCGTTCTCGCAGGAGCAGACAGTGAGTCGTGCACAGGCGGTGGGAGCAGTGGTCTCGTCGGAGATTTAGGCAGGGGCTTCCTAGGAACCCTCTTGTGAAGCTCTGCCTCGAGCTCCTTGCCGCTATTGCTCAGACTACAAGACACTGAGCCCCAGAGCGCACATATCACCTGATACGTCGTGTCACCGCTTACTTTGAGCAGGGAAGGCAAATTTTGCTGTATGCCAGGCAAGCCGCAATGGGTATCGATGGTGTGCAAGGCGCCGGTAGTACAGCAAGGAGCGTGGTGTAGCGAAATATAGACATCGCTGTGTATGCTGACTTCCGTGTCGTTCACCTGCGCGGAGTTCAACAGCGGGAGGGGCACATTCTTGTCCATGAGCTTCAGGCCATGTCGTGTTGGGCTTGTCGACTAAGGGCGACCGAGGACGGAGACATTCTCGCGATTCCGAGCGCATGTCCGGGAGGGGGTAACGGCGTATGTGTGGTCTTCGGTTCTCCGCAGCCGCCAAGCCTGGTACAGACGCCACTCACCTCGCACGAGATGCCTAACTGGTACCATACCAACCGCTGACTGACACCTGTACAAGCCTCTGGTTGTGTCGACGCGCGACACTGGGTTAGAGCGGGAGTGTTCCTCGGACAAGGAGTCGACTTGGTGTGAGGGCCCAGCCCGCAGAAAACGCCCAGGGACAATGGGGCGGCGAATTCAAGAGCCGCGAGCGTGCATCGTGGGACTCAATAGGACCTGAAATGGATTTCAGCTTCTGTAGAGTATGGTCGCTGGCACTGCGAAGGATCGGCGAGCAGTCAGCAAAACTTCGAAGATCATGCATAATGCAGATGGCCTATGCGGTTTTTGGGGCCTTGCGATACCGCCGAGTAGCGTCCTGTTGGTACTTCAAAAAGCGGAGTATATGACAGTGTTGATTAGCATGAGATATCATGGATGGATTTGCGAGATAGCAAAAGGACTCCACTTACACCTACATTATGCACATGCATTTACGCGGGAAAACAACACAATATACTTTACATTGTTCTTTGCAGAAAGCAGCGAATACGCAGCACGATCCGATAGCATCCCTTCCTTGTCAGACCTTGTGGGCCGTGTGATTGATCCGATATTACTGCATTATTATGGACATTCTTATTACATAGCCCCTGCGACGGCCGCGCAGACAACAATACGTTCTGAGATCGTGCCGACTGCACGTTGTGACCAGCAGAAATAGCGACCTCGTGCAGCGGGAGATTTAGGAAGCGTGATGCAGGCATCTTGCGCATCGTGCGGCGGAGTTGCACGCTATATAACCTGTTTGTCCGAGGACGGCGAAGTGCCGCAGGCGCTGAAGACCTGCAAATATACATACAATCACTATTGTCTCATATCCACTCCCACAACACAGCTTACCGCAAAGTCTCATACCTCGCCTGTCTACCTCTTAGACGAGGCATTTCAAGTGACATCACTTGGTATGTCAAGCTAAATATATCTGCAACCACAGGCGCTGATTCAGAACACACCAGTCTATATTCGCCATGTTTACAGCAGACGAACTCATTATTGGTGGCGCGACCATGGCCGACGTGGTTGAGGCACTTGGGATACCCCAGGATGCGAATGACCACCAAGCTGGACTGCTTTTGCATGGCAGCCCATTCGGAGACCATGACGAGCAAATGGCGATAGGTGTCTCCATACAAGAGTACTACATATGGGATTCCACCCCCAGCAAGGTGCATGGGCTAACTTTTAGTACAGACTGCACAATCTAATACAGCGTCTCCACTTGTTAGGACTCCTGTGACGACAACCACACACCGGAGTGGTCCACCCTCGAGGATCAAGGGCTACGTCAGTCGCCATTTGGCGAACACAGTGCATCCATCGACATGGATGCCGAGCTGAACGTAGGCCTCTCCATGGAGGAGGGCACTGCCGGGGCATTTGGCGGGGACATGGTACGTTGGAAATCTTGTCCCTCGAGATGTTGAAATTCTAACGTCTGATTAGTACGTCCCGCCGGACGTCAACATGGCGCGGTCGTCCAGTATGTCGATGCCACGAGAATATGGCGCGCCCGTTGCAGGGCCGTCGCGATTCCCGGGTGCACTCGGCGACTCGACCGACTGGCATGGGGGGAGAGCCAATCTCTCCCAAACTCAAACATCGTGTGGGGATTCCGTATCCCTCGCGATCGCCCCTGGTCTGCTGTACGCAGAGCAGGGTGCGACCACAACCGAATACGAAGTTACCATCGCCGAAGATGAGGGTGAAGATGACCTCGACGCCTATGACGATGGATCAGATGGCAACGAGGACGACGCTTTCATTCTCGACACCGATGACGACGACAGCATGCATCTTGTGTCCAACGAGGGCGAGTCTGCAATTCTCGATGACGACGTCAACATTGAAGCAACTGGCGACTTACCACTGGTCGCCACTCCCCTCGACAGACCCATAACGCACTCCCACACTCACGCGTTCTATGGAAACAGCGGGTTGACGCTGCCCGATGTCTCGCGTGGGCAAAAGCGCAGGGCTAATGATGGCAGCGAGGACAAGGCTAACGAGAAAACGGTGAAGAAGGCCCGGAAGGGCAAGGCGAAGGACACTGCTCAGACGAAGGAGAAGACCAAGGTGAGAGCGAAGGATACGCGAAGACAAAGGGCAAGGCAAAGGCAAAAGGTAAGGCGAAGCGTAAGGCAAAAGAAAAAGCAGGCAACGCGAAGATCAAGGTCAGAGGTAGTGGAGGGCAGTTCCCGTGCCTGAAGCCTGGCTGCACAAAGTCGTTTCGACGCATCACCGACAGAAATCGCCATCTCAGATCCAGCTGTTCAAAGGAAAAGACAGGCGACCTCGAGAAACCCCGCTGCTCCCACTGCAATAAGCAGTTCTCCAGGGGTGATGCAGTCAAGCGACACGTTGATGACGGTGCGTGTCCTGCCTTGAAACAGCCACCTGGAGAGTCGAAGGAGTCCGGAGCGTCGAGTGACGGGAACGACGGAAAGCGCAAGGGTGGAGATAAGGGCGGTCGTGGTGGAGGAAATGGAAAGGGCGGTCGCGGCGGAGGAAGGAGCGGTCGTGGTAGAGGAAGAGGAGGTCATGCCTAACATCTGGGAGTCGTCGCAGCATCCTCCCTCTCCATCTCGTACTCGACTGTTTCTGCCTGGGACTCTAGTCTTCTCGACATTGCCGCGACGATCTGACCGTACATGCCTTGCCATCGTCTTCGACGTATATCCTTTCTCGCTCAATATATATTAGTCGCCATGCAGAATGAGCAGCGACTTCAAGAGACATGATTAAGCAGCGTGATGGAACGGACCATGACGGCGGAGAGGAAGCGAGGGAAACATCGATCGATCGAATCTGCCGCCACGCGGCTATTGACCATTTCAAGTTCGGACCACCTACAGATGCTGTCTGACTGCTCACGGTCACTCGACCTGAATGTTTGATGTAATCGTTGTTGTACTACATCAGTGCGTCTCATTTCAACACTATCCTTTGCTGATCTGACGGGTGGGTTTCGCGTAGGACGCATGACCATGAAGCGAGATCACTCTCTGTTGGAACAACGGTGCGAACGGTGCGGGGCGCGTTTGTCCACGGGCGTAGCGATGCCCGTAAGGGACAATCGCGTGTGGTACGTACATCGCGCGGGGTCGTTATATACTACGATAGGGGCCTCCGGCCCCCGGTTACTCGCGCGCCCGAGCTTGCGAGCTCGTTCCTGAATGCGTGCTTCAACACTCTCTGCATTTGAATGTGTGCACGATACCTTGCTTGCAATCGGACAATGAAGGAGGAGGGTTGTATATAGGATAATAGTCTACGTACGCTGCGCTCTCTTTGTTATGCGGTTTGTGTTTTTCCACTGTATTGGGGATTCTCCTCGCATGCCGTCGATTTCATCAGCGCGGATGGCCATACACGTCACCTAGCGGTTGAGATTTTTTGGCTTCAGCTTAAGCTCGAATGAGATGGAACAGCCACTACGACAGCACTTGGAGTATTTCTGGCCGTGATATATTACCATCGAGGAGTCCGTAGACTACAGCCGCAAACGAGACGTGCTGCTCAGCCCGTCTATGCCCTACGTTCAAAAGGTATCGTGGTTATTCTCCCATTCGGAACCGCACTTTGATAAATTATCTCATCAGGACAAATGGAACGTGATATACGCTCACGCACGAAGTGGACAGGTCGTTAAAACTATATCGAGGCCATTAATCTACGAAGAGGTCCTGGTGTTGTCTTTATCGTGAAGGCTTGACCCCATGGCCATCATGTGTCCTGCATATGAACGAGATATTCATTTATTGCTGTGGTGGGTGCCGTATTGCTGACGTACGATAGCTTCTGGTTCTTGACCCGCTCAGAGTGCGTTAGTATGCTTGAACGAGTGATGGAGACCTCGCACAGACACGGATATTCAATAGGTCCAGGGGTGTTGTGCATGCTTTCAGTCGTCTGTTTCATTTGAAGGCACGTCACCAACAGCTAATCGTAGAGATGTCTCGTCAAAAGCTTGTGCGCTGCTGTATGGTCCTTGTCCGGCTGCCCTGTCTGCTCCTATTGTCCATGTCAACGCCCAGCACGTATATCACCAAGATATGGAATGGGCGGAGGCGTGATTCCGTTGTAGGTGGTACCTGTGAATCCTGTATACAGACATCTCACAGATTGATACCGCCGAGTGAGGATAACAATACCCCGTACCGAGTTGTATTTCACGATCTAGAGTCGAACGCTGAGTCATGAGGCTGTCAAGTCTGTTGACCTTTCGCTGGAGGATACGAGGGATGATATGCATGATGCAAACATTGCGAATGCTTTACACTTAATGGCGTAAGGAGCGGTGTTGTGATTGACATGCTTCCGTATGAACAATGCGGGAATGGCAATGACCCGCCTTATGCCTGCTTCGAATCTTCACTATATCTAGCCATCGAGTTGTTGTCCAGATGAACACGTCGAGATGCGCGTATGACCCAGGTGAGCAACGTACTGAGAATACTCACGCCAGTGCCACACCAGAAGGTGTCCATACCAGCCGGCGTCGACGTCAGCCTTCGATCCATCAATAATGTACAGAACGGTCATATTCAGAAGCTAAGTGATGAACTATGGATTTCACAAGTGCCCTGTCATACTGCAGGTAGATGTACTACGACGCGGGTGGACACACGAGTCGTCGAAAAACACAAAAGTAGAACATACGCGTGGTGGAAGGCTTCGAGGTTGTTGCAACAATGCACGAGCGAAACGGTACAATGAACGGTAAGACCATATTCCCGAAAGCGGAGAACATTCGCGTGCTGCATTGAACTAAAAAATGGAGGATAGGATAATGGTAGGAGGTAAATCAGTATAGTCGCGGCACGATTCACTCCCAAGTACCTCCCCAACAACGACATGACTACATCCTCCAATGAACGGAGAGGTCGCGGAGACCATGTGTTCACGGAAAGAAAGGCGCAGGCCCTGGGATTATCAAGCGTGAATGAACTTGGAAATATTTTTGTCTACCCGAGCGGACGGATGGTGCATAGCGATACGACGTACCGTATGTAGGCCTTCCCGTGTTTCAACATCAACGTCGCCCTGACGGTATGGTGCTCAGAAAGACAGCTCACCGAATGTGAGGGACGACAGTGACGAGCGTGTATGCGCGTGACCGTCTTTTTCTGTGATATTGAACAAGTATCTCTCGCAAGCCCATGATTGCCGACGTACCGCAGCACGTTGTAATACCCTGATTATTGCCGCCGTCCCGCCGTCTTCAGCACACGCGTGCATCGGTGATAAGGAGCGGATGTTTACTTGAGACGGCCCCGTGCGCCTTTCCACGTATCGAGACCCGTAACAATGCTGTTCCCGACGCAGACGCGCGAGTTTGAGTGTGCTGCATGTCGACTACCTATACACGATGCAGCTTCAGCAGCGATTTGTAGACGTGGTACTAACCTCAGGCGGGGCTTCCATTCCGAAACATCGGTCATCTAGGTAGAAGATGGAAACCGCTGCATGACAACGTACTGCTTGTACTCAGCGGCGACTCGGACAAAACCCAGAGCAGACGAGAGCAGGTCTACGACTCCACTCCTCCCCATGGTCTGCGAAGGCCCTTGCATAGCGCCCCCTGTAGACACATAATGAATCACTGGTCTAACGAGGTAGGAATCAAGAAGAGAAAAGCATACGAAGAGATGGGAAGACAGCACCCAGCGACATTTTCGCCGTTGTCGTGCGAGATGACTCAACCATGCCAATATAAAAGTTCGATCCACCAAGAAGATGCGCTGCGCGTTGGTTCCATGACAGAGGCGCTCTGTGACTCCCAAATGACATGCAGATCGACCTGGATAGTCTAAACATGACGTACTGGTAAAGTCACGCTCGTGCGCTATCTGGAAGTGGATCTGGGACTCCAGAGGCGATGCTCAGAAGGTCGCACTTGGGTGGGGTCAACGGGGCGGACGGATAAGCGACGGGCAAGCAGCAGGTGGGATGTTTGGCAGTAACCAGCCTCAACGGGAGGAACAAAATGGGTTCGACATGGTTGCAAAATTGTGCAGATGCCATTTCGGCCATCGGGCGCAACATTGCACGTGAGGAGCGGGTATGCGCGTGGCTGGGTCGGCGGATTCCTGGATCTATTCCGAGGGTATGAGCAAGCGAGCAACCGGCAGACGCGTGTGCGGTGCTTCCATCCTGATGGACCCACTGGTTCGGCGGACCCTGGACGCAGCCTGCCAATACACCGCGGGATCTACACCGGATACAACGCCTGAGAGCCACCGCTACTTCGTTGCCTGAGACACATGCGTGCTGGGGGAACGGCGAGCTAAGGACTGACCTGACACGGGGAGAGCCCATATAGTCATCCACGTCACGTACAGCCATCCATTCCTGCTCGATAGATCCAGCAATATACAAACAAAAACGTGCGGTGAACGAGGCGCCGTCTGGCGCGCACTATCAGCCAGTCAGCCATGCACGACCCTGGACGGAGAGGTGCCCAGGTGGTGTGCGTACCTGTCAGTGGAAGGGCACGTATAGAAGCTTCGGGAAAACTGAACAACGACGGTATGACTCCGCGGGAGCGCATTGTAGGATCAAGTCTGGGTTGAAAGGGATGTCCATTTCTGGACGTCGCTGTTTGAAAGTGAGATGCTTATGTCTTGAGTATGATCAGTGGGGGAGAGCCGATACAAACTCCAAGCGAGCGAAGCAGACGGCTATTCCAATTGTCCGTATGCTGCTTGCAATGTCTTGCGGCGCGCGCTGTAAATACGAGGTGAACGAGCAGGTTGATTTGGTCAAAATGCCTGACGACCACAAGTGCAAAAAGAGACAAGTGCACCTGCTGAGCGCTTCCGTGTGGGGGGCCACTGAGGTGTATTCTTGCATTATCTCATTAAAAAGCAACGTGAGTGAAGGCACGAAAATGCAGTGTGATCCGTCAGACAACGCTGCATTATTCTCGACATCCATATCAACAAGAACACGCAGTCATGATGTCCAGATAGCGATGCCTTTTGATTTCGGACTGCCTGAAGATCTCGCTGCAAGTGTGGACTTCGTTGCAGCGGGATCTTTACGAAGTTTGATGCAGCCAACACGCCCAGCCCGCAGTCGGCGAAGGGCGGCAGGCACCGAGAAACTGCGATTTACAATATCCTCGCCCTCTTTTCCTTCGGTCTTTGTCGCCTCCGCTTGTTGGTCTATTGGTAACTGTCCTAGTTCAATCACCTGCTATTAAAACACTGACTAACCAACCATAATCATCCTCTTCATCCAGCAACATGGAAAAGGAATATTCCCCAGAGCCAGGATGGGATACGAAGATGGCTGCGGACATCGACGCGCTCGCAGAGGGGATGGAGCGATTCAACGACGTCGAGGCCAATCAATACTGGGAGACCCAGGGCGAGGGTGTCGCGGTGTCTACCGCGTACCAGGAGGTCCCGACCGGCGCCGTTAGTCTATCCGAGTTATCTGTCTATTGGGACAGCGAGCTTATTTTGCATTCTACAGGACCTCCTGTTGGACATGGAGACATCAACATCGTCTTCAGCCACATCCACGGGGGCCACTGGTTGTCCAAGCGACACATCGGAGGACGAGCATGGGGCCTCAGATGCCCACCCACACGAAGATGGGACTTCCATATCCTGCGCACATGCCCCTGGTCTGCGCTATGCAGAGCAGGGAGCAAATACATCAGAATATGAGAGTGATATCATCGATCATACAAGCGGCCATGCGAACAGGGTCGATATCGAATCCGAGGTCAACAACAATGCCAACATCACTGATAGCGAGCCGGGATCCGCAGACAACGCCAGCAGGAGCGACTCGCGCGACAACTCACCACCTATCGCCCTGCCGACAGTCGATGAGGACATTTTCAGCGGGAGGATCGACCGATCGGAGTGGGCCACCCTGCCTCGGCGAGTCACTCGGTCAATGACCAATACCACCACCTCGACGTCCACGCAAGCATCCGCATCCATCGCGGGTCCATCGAATGTCCGGCGTGGCCAGAAGCGGAAGTCGCCTGACGAGGATGAGGACGACGAGGACAGCGCAATTGGAGACCACGGGGCCGACGAAGACCAAGAGCTGGAAGAAGATGGGGACGAAAATACGAGGCCAGTAGCGCGTGGGCCGGACGGACGCTGGCCGTGCAAAGAGTGGCAGTGCAGCAACACCTACACTCGGGAGCACGACATGCTCCGTCATTGGAGATCTTGCAAGATGAGGCCTGCGCATTTGCGAGCATCCTGGATCTGCCCGGATTGCGGCAAGTCATATTCAAGGCGCGATGCAAAGGGGCGACACAAGCAGACAGCGTGCAAGGGCAAGGACCCTGCAGAAGGAACTGGCGGCGGTCGCGGATCGGAAGGAGGGAAGAAACGTGGTGGCGGAGGCGGTGGACGCAAACGAGCTCGGAGTGGGTAGTGATGGTGAATATCCGTCTTTCTCCTCCTGCAGAGATGTCTCTGGAGCTTACGTCGGGTTGTCTCGAATACAGAACTCACCGTTTGATCCCATCTACGCTTTGCTCCTTGTCCCAACGCAACCTCCCATCGTGGTCTGATGCTGTCTGCCTCATCGTGAAACTGGAAAATCGACAAGACACTCTGATAACACTCACTGGTTCTGCGTCAAGCCTTATCTCGTCTACTCTACTCTTTTCCACAATCCATCTGCTCCGCTGCTTATCCCTCGAGCCTCCAGAAGAAACGAGCATGGACTTGGCCAACTGTCGTATGACGGAGTGGAACAGAGCACAGAGGGCTGGGCGATAGATCGACGAGAGGGACGTATGTATGGCTGTTTGACTTCGCTTGTGCCGGTGGCTGGTGCACTCTGTCGCTTTCGCAATCATGCTTACGTTCTACTCGACATGGCGAGCTTCGGAACATACTGACTGACTCGAGTAGAACGCAAGATTCTCTCTATTTTTCATTAACGCGTACGAAGCGATAAGCCGCTCGTTCACAAGCAGCAACTAAACACCGTCAAGCTGACATCTCTACGATGTGTGGATAGTATTCAGGAATTTGAGGCCTGGTTTCTTTGAATGCTACGAGTATGGCTTTGCCGCCCAGAGTTTACTCGTCCGAAAACGAAACCAATGAAGACCTTACTTCCTTGCATAGACGATGTCTAATTGTCGTGGTCCACACTTCAATTAACACAGTCGTTAGCATCCGAAGCTCCCGAAGTCATACGTCTTCGACTCATGTGCTCCACATCCAGAGCTCTCTCTTGTCACCTGATTTCTCTGTATAGTCCTCCATGGTGCACTCCAACCTGTATGCTCGCACTCGAAGCGACCAAGCTCAAGCCGACGACTATCGCATTCCATCTCTGCAGACCAAAAGTCTAAGTCGACGTTGCCATGAGATCCGTCGAAGCCATATCACCGTCTTCTCGAAAATCTCAAAGGGGTGTTCCTTGCTATTATCATTTCAAGCGCTTGATCGATTTTATGATATGTTAGAGGCCGTGGTCGATGGACGACTCAACAGTCTCTCGCTTTACGATATGCCAACTGGGTGCTCGACGAGGTCAAGCTAATAAGTTCTGGCCGTAGATCCTTTTTGCTTGTTCTTGTGGCGTAGAAATATGTGGCATTCATGTCCACATGGTCGTACCCAATAGTTGTAGACCTTGTTGGGGATCATTCTGAGAGATATGATACAGTAGTTAGATAGTCTTGATCGATGTGCCATTGTGCTCTCTTCTGATGCGTCGAAGACTCGAATGTAATCATTACCAGCCAATTCAACCTGGACGATAGATGCCAAACTCCAGATTCTAGGCGGTATGCCATCTAACATCAGCCTCATGCTTGCAGAAATCACATGCATTGTCACAGTCGAGAAGCAGGTGTGCATACTCAATTCAACGCACACACACAAATGCACCGCTATAATATGCAGCCTTTCGAAATCCATCATAAAACCTTCAAGTCACGCCGCTTCACGCCTATTATGCATTTCTTCGGCTTACGTCCAAAACTGTCTTGTATCTCGAGCTGTATCGAGCGAAACGTAAGTAATAATCTTCTGTATCGTATGATTCAATGAGACCAAACGTACAGGAGCGTCATCTTGCAGGACGATGCTATACCTGCGAAATATTGTCGCCGTCACGATCTGCAATTGCTGCATGGCAAGGTTGCGCCCAATACATGCCCTGTTCAGACGCACGCTTCAGACCAGTTAAACATAGTTCAAGCACTCCGCACTTACCTCAGGCCAATTGAGAAAGGTGCGAAAGAGCTCATCATCTCTTTCTTCGTGTCCGCCGAGGCGTCGATCCATCTCTCGGGGTAGAACTCGTCTGCGTTCGCACCCCAAACCGCTTTGCTCCTGTGCAGAGTGTATATCGGCGAGCTCACCACCGTCCCTTCCATCAGGTGGTGTCCGAGGATCGTCATACCACCAGCAGGCACGACGCGTGGCAGACCAGCGCCGACACCCGAGTGCAGGCGGAGACCTTCGTTGACTACAGCTTCGAGATACGGCAAGACCTTCACTGTGCCGTAAGGTGCTATCTCGGAGCCTATCCCGTCGAGCGCCGCGTCCAACTCGGCT